TTCTTATACCAAAGTTAAAATTCTGCTATAATTTTTTACAGTTTTTTTCTTCTTTAATGTAATATAGCCAATTTTTCCCAAATATCGACAGCTACCTCCAACTTTGTTGCAATCTAGTCCATGTTTCATATAAATTAACGTATCAATGTATCCTTGAAATGAGAATTTATTTTATCAGGCCTAAAAAGATTCACTTGTGTATGCTATCAATCACTTCTTATACGTGATCGTAGCAACGATCGATCAGTAAACAATTCAAGGTGCATAATACGAAGCAGCGAAGCAGCAACTAAACTACTCAAATAATTGTTTATTCTTCAATGCTAGCTTTATTCGTCCACAAAGCAGGGTACTGCGAATTTATTATTTTCACATTCGTCCACGTGTTTTTCTACTTTACATTTGTAATTTATACCGATATTTATATCAATTTTGCTGAAGATGCTAACAAATTACGTATTAAATAATATTGCGCGACATTCCTGTATCACACATTTAACGCTGACTATGAGCAATAATTACACGTATTTATTGTAACAAAATTCCGTAAATTTAATTATTGTACAAGTAAATATAAGTAAACGTATCGCGGTAATATTGAAATTTCCTCAAATATAATGTACTATTTTACGCGATATTCTTGCGCGATTGATTGCAATGGTACGTGCAGCTATTGTTCAATAGCAAGCATATAAAAACAGATATAATCGAACAGCATGTCTGAATTCCCGATATCCAATATTTTATTTCAATTCCCGATTCCTGTATCCTATATCCGGTATCATTAACTTTTAGCTTCTAAGATCAAATCTCGAATTCGCGATAGCGACTGATTTCCCGCTAAAATTCTCGTGGATATTTCCGATTTACATTCTCGTAGTTACATCCACGTCCATTTTTATTTACCAATTTCAAATTTATAAACAAATATTGTATTGAATCACGCGATTACGCAATATATAGGTTATCTATTGTCGCTTGTAGAAAATTAAAGCGAAGCTTTGATATCGTCGAAAATGATCTATCATCGAGTAACGTCGTCTATGTTTATGTCGGAGTGAATATTGTGAATGAAGAATATTTATTGTATTGAATTAATGTATAGAAAGAGGAACGTTGCGACGGATAATAGACATTCTTGTCGATACGTTACTTTACCACGTATGAATAGTTTAGCGGTGCACAAGAACAAGTTGTGGTAAAATATATTGTAAGAATATAATAAAACGATCGTACCGCGCTAAAACGAACGGTACATTACAATGTAATCCGTTTATTTAAAATACATACCTATTAAATGTACGAACTGAAATCTAAATATCAGGAAACTCAATCAGTTGGACTTAATCCAAATTCGACAACGTAATAACGAATATAGCCATTTGCCAAAGATCTCATTACAATGTCCAATAATCATTTATGTAATAACAATAATTTATCTTTCTTTTATAAAAAAATATAATTGCTAGTAGCTTTATCTTAGTAATCACCAACTAATGATAACATATATAACAACACATTCAACAAGATAATTGTTACATATCACATATGTTGTATATTACGTTTATATTATTGAGTGTAAAATTGATATGTTACTGTTTGTTGGTGTTTACTGGGTTGTGTTTAATGTTACATAATTAATTCATTTGTTTATCAACACGAATTAAAAAAAATTGTTCAATGTCAATTTGGATTTTTCGATAAATATATAAATTTTTTTTGTTTATATTAAAATTGCAATTGATGACATCCTTAATTTTTCCAAAAATATTATTTATAAAAATAATTAATATAAATTTAATTTATATTAGCAAATAAAATTTTTATATAATATTAAATAATTAAATTAAGATTTTTAACTTTAAATGCGTGGAAAAAAAATGCATTTTTCTTACCTGATGTGTACTTGAAACTAAATTGCGATTAGTATGACACTCTCATTGTTAGATGTCGTTATGATAGTATTTTGGATCTTCAGTAAGTATAGATTATTATCGTGTGTCCACAATGTTAGAAATTGCATCCAGATCTTGAAGAAGGAATTAATTACATTTGAATAATTCGGTCACATGACCAATGTGATTATAGTAATTTTTTCTTCATTCAAGATTTCAGACTGATTTCTACAGCATCGTAGACGCAAGGCTTTATAGGCAAGCTGTCTTTTTCACTCATGAGCGTTCAAGTATATATGTTATAGTATCACTGCAATATTAAATATTAAATTATACGTATCTTTTTTTGTAAAAGCTCTGTTTTGGCGTTCTATAAAAATTTTTAGAAAATCAATAAAAAAGTTATAAAATTAAATAAAATAATTTATACTTTTTCACCATAGCCTAGGGTTTCTAAGTTCCTTATCTTTCTGCTGCAAAATATCATCAAAATTATAAATATTGTATCTTTTACACTTATATACATTACTAAATCTTTCTAGTACTAT